TTGTCGAGCTTTTGAAAAAACATGAATGTTTCTAAATAAAAGTTCGCCTTGTGAATATTTTCCCAATATCGTTTTTAAAACTGTTTGCAAAGTGTTAACAGTCAGGCCTTCCCACCTCTCCCCATTTTTCTCACTATTTCCCCTTTCCTCTATATATGCGACACTGTTTTTTTTTTCTCTAGAATAACTGCTTGCCTGACTCTCCCTCCCCTCCCCCCCTCTCTCTCTCTCTCTTAAAAAGGGAAAGAGAGGCGGAAAGATAGAAGTGAGAGAGAGCAAGGGAGAAAGAGAGAGAGAGAGAGAGAGAGAGCAAGGGAGAAAGTGAGTGAGAGAGAGAGAGAGAGAGAGAAACTGATAGATAGAGAGCAAGGCTGAATGATCACCTGCTCTCCCCATGGGCTCCGACGCAACGCCCACCATTGAGACAGGTCGCGGGCGTGCAAGTGTCGTACTCGAGGGCGTGGCAGCGATGGGCGTGGGTGAGGCGCGGGGTCACCAAGGACGTGGCGTTGATGTCCACCACCTACGAAGGAAGAAAGGAGGAAAAATAAGTGAGGACAATAGGGGGGAAGGGAGAAGAATGAGAAGAATAAGTGAGAAGCATGTAGAAAGATGAATAAATGAAATGTAGGATGAAGAATAAAATAGAAAACACTACGTAAAGAATATTAAGGGAAAGGAACAAGAAAGATCAAGATGATGAGCATGTAAGATAAATAACAAGATGCATGGAATACATATAGGATAAATAATTAAACAAATAAATACATAAATACATGAGATAAAGAACAATTCGGACAAATAAAAATGTATAGGATACAGGACAGGAAACGCGAAGGATAAAATGAAGACGTGGGATAGAGAAAAATATGTAGTATAAAGAACAACAATAATAAGAACGAAAAAAACCCTTTAAACTCAGAATACAGAACAAAATACGTAGGATAATGGGATAAAGAACACGGGATAAGGAACAATGCACGGAGGATAAAGAGCAGGAAGGATAAGACACACAATACGCAGGAAGAAGGACACAGAGAATACAGAACTAAAACAAAAAAGAAAAAAACAAGCAAACAAAAGAGACTAATCAGTGCTTTCTGAAGCTAATAAGGCTTTGGGATAAAGACTAAAGAGCAGAAAGAACACAGACAAAGAACAGGTAGCGCGGGAACTTTTGCTAACACCTGAGATGAAGAACGGACTCTGAACTTCACCTGCAGCGGGACGGGTGACGAGGACAACGAAGCAGCTGAGGAGGGTTCCTGGGTGTCCTGTGAGCCTGGGTGGCGGTCGAGAGGCGCCCTCGCGTCCTCCAGCTGCTTAGGGAACGACGCCAGCTTCTCCGAGTCCTTCGCCGTCACCGTCAAATTGACCGCTTTGGAAACCTGTTACGAGGGCGGAGGGAAGGAGGCTGAGGAAGCCTACGGGAAAGTCACGCCACGTTTCACCATGTGATACGTACACCTCGCGAATATCGAGGTGTACGAATGTTAGTGAATATTTATTGAAACGCACATCTATATACACATGCACACACGCACACACACACACACACACTCTCTCTCTCTCACACACACACACACGCGCACGCTCGCACACACAGAAACACACACACACTCACGCACACACATGGACACACATACAGACGCATATGCATGGGTTTGCAGGCTCGCACATTTGATTACTTATTCATATCACGCAATAATGAACAGCAATAACAGAAGTACACTAAAATTAAAATCGAATTAATATGCAGATATTCTCGACCGTAGCACAGTAATCAGTAATCAGCAGACTGATAATTATAATTTCCGCTTTTCAGTAACTCGGCTCCTTTTTTTCTGCAAATGTACAGTTCATGGTTGAAAAGGTATAAATTGACTCGACAACTTGTGGATAAAAAAAGATGGACCTTTAGTACAAATATTGGTCGGCCAGCGTAATGTGGTCAAGTTTACCACTAATCAGCCAACCAAATTAGCGGAAAATATTTTAATTCCACCGCTCTTTAACAACCAGCCTCATTGACACGAGTCCCATGATGAAGCCCTTTAGCCGTTCACACAAAAAGTACTTTGCCTCCGCTCTCCTAACCTCGGCGGAATGAAGCTGCAGCAGACCCTGGAGCTTCACGGGGTCGATGAAGCCCCCCATCGCCTCCCTGACGCTCACCCACACGCACGCAGACCGGGCGGAGGCGTCGGAGGAGGACGTCGCGGGGGACACGAACGAGGGCGGAGGCGTCTGGAAGAAGGTCGACGTGGCGTTGGGCGGGACGTCGAGCGGGAACGGAGGGCGGCGGGCGTCGTGCACACTCACCACCTCGACCACGTGGGCGTCTTCACCCACGGCGCGAAGGATCCCCTCCACCAGGCGGCCCAACACGCCCCCTCCGCGCTGGGGGAGACGCAGACGTGTACATGGAAAGCAATCTGCCAACTTGCTTACCTGCTTAACTGATAATGATAAAATAGTGATAAAACAATAATGAAATAAT